TCCCATCCAACCCCGTATCATTCTGTGATGATTCTGTGAATGCACCCACAGCTTCCCACATCACAGTGGATGCCCTCAAATGATCAATTAGCAATGTTTTTTAAAGCCAAATGTGTTTGTGTGCCAGACAGCAGCTACACACATTCATTCAGCAGTAGGGATAGGTAACAGCATATTCTGGTAAATTGAGTAATGTCGAAAAGCTTGGTGCTCACTTCATAATAAATATTATATTATGAAACTCTTACTTAAAAAAAGAATAGAACGTGGAAAGATAATGCACTGTGTCTAACATCAGAAGTAAATACAATATTTTGTTTGGAGAGACACAAAATAAAAGTAGAGCATAAGAACTGCTCTACAGGAACCAGGCAAAAAGCTTTTCTCCCCACCATGTTTAGGCTTGAAGGCCAGGACCAGCCTGCAGCCAATTGGACCTCAGACTTTTTTGAAATAGAGGAGATATTTCTGGATTATTTTTGTTCAAGAAGCTCTTTAAAGCCATGCCTCTTTTATGTCTATGCGCTGTCCTGAGGCATCTTAAAATGTAGGTTTTCCACATAAAAAGTGACCATTTCCTTTTCTGGTTTTGAACCGATCACCATTAATGTTATCCCTGGGAGAGAAAGCAAACAGTCTACCTATGTTCACAAAAAAATTATAGTATACATGATTTTATGGGCTTCTATTATAAATCTTTCAGCATCTGGCTTTCTAATCTGAAGTCCTATTTTGTACAGACAGTGAATTTTTTTCTTAGAGAAACAGCCCCCCATCCCCTCTTAACCTCCTCTAGTTCTACTAAACCCTTTTGACTTCGAAGGGCAAGACTCTTATTATTCTCACTGGGTTGTACTGATATTTATGGCCTTGGTTTTTGTTGTGGGATTTTTTGTTTTGTTTTATTTATTTAAATTCTGTTGAGGGATTTTGCTGTGTGCTAGTGAAGCAAGCAAGGTACTTCTGAATGCTGTGGATGTACCACAGCTTGTTATTTTCTATAGATTTTGTAACTACAATTTAAGTTTGTTTTCCTGTGTCTAATCCTGCAACCTCACACCTTCTCAATTCCTATATTCCCAGAGATGAGTTTGGATAATGGCAATTTAGTCAGTTTGAGGTCACTGTGTGTGATGGGTTTGGGTTTTTAAGTTTTCAGACCTTTTCTTGCTACAGAAAAGAATACAAAAATTCACAGGTGGTTAGCGTGGCATGTTTGTGATTTCAGCTGGTTTTAGACTTGAAGGTTATGAAAATCAGTCATAAAATTCTAGAGAAATTTTACAGTGACTTATAGCTTCAAGGAAAGTACTTACAGCCCTATTATCTTAAAGTAAGATTAATTGTTCCCAATCATATTACTTGAACAAACAAGCATACTGAGACATTCAGAGCTATGTGCAATTGCTGGGTTTCAATGACTCATTAGATGTCAAGATATTTTTGTTTGCAGTTATGGATAGGAAAAGTGAGAATAAAAATCTTGCTTATTTTCGCACACTAAGAAATCCTTCATTTCTAACCCGTTGGAGAAGTGCAAAAAGCAGTAGAGGAAATAACATACACAACGTTTTGACTCTGAAAGGGATTATAAGAATAGGATTCTCTCCCACCCCAGAAAAAAATGCAAATGTATTGGCATTTGCTAAATTAGGTGGGGCTTTTTGTTTATTTGGGTTTTTTTACACTTACCTTCTGAACTTCCTGTGGTAATTCTATCCGTAAAGAATTAACCACCTGCTTAAATGAGAGTTATGACCAACTGAGCACCCAAAAATCTTGGAAACCCATACTAAAGAGCAATTTCCTCAATCTTAGATCCTTTGCACATTCTCGTGGTAGCTCACAGGGCCTCAAAAAAGGACATGAGAATGCAGTCCAGGAGTGCAAAGGGCTTTTAGTCCTCCACGTAAACACCAGCTAGTTCCTCCTGTTGGCAGTCACCCCACAGAGTTCCCTTTTTAATACACAGCATTAGAAAGAGTGCTTTTAGTCCTCCACGTAAACACCAGCTAGTTCCTCCTGTTGGCAGTCATCACAGAGTTCCCTCTTTGATACACAGCATTGGAAAGATTACACAGAATCACAGAATTGTAGGGGTTGGAAGTGACCTTCAGAGATCATCTAGTCCAACCCCCCCGGCCAAAGCACTGTAAACTACATGGAAAATCTCTTTATCGTCTAGTCCAACCCCCCCTGCCAAAGCACTCTAAACTACATGGGAAATCTCTCTACTCTATCCCACTGTCCATGTCTCCATGGACATAGCAATATCTTTTTGCATCATTTTCTGCTTGCAGAAATAGCAATATTCTTCTTGTACTTCACAGCCAACACTGTCTAACATTAGCTCAGTAAAAGCCAGCCTTTCCAAAACAAAATCTACCCAAATGCTTACCAGAAGCAGCAGGCTTGCGGCGCATGGAAGCTCGAATGATATCTGCTCCGTGTATCTTGTCTCTGTGCCTCTTCGACTTCGCTTCGTAAAACCACTGCCCGCTCATATTCTTCAGCTGAACATCATCTTTGACTTTTTCTGGTAAATGCCTGGAAAGAGAAAAAAAAAAAAAGTTAAATAGATGAGATATACACAATCTACTAACCGGATAGAACAGGATAGAAGTCAGATATTTTTTTTTTTTGGTTTTGGGGTGGATTTCTGTTGGTTGTTTTTTTAATCCTAATCTCAGCATGCTATTTCCATCTTCTGACCACTTACTCTCCTTATTTAATTATGAAGGATGACAATGAGCTGGAAAGGGAAGAGCCTCAGCCATATTACCCTCAGAGCATCAGTTGAAGTAACTCTTAAAAAAAAAATAATTTTAAAAATGCTTTGCTCTGATAAACTCTCAAGCAGCGACAGCCCTGGAGAAGTCCCCAATAACTGCAGATCTTGACTTCTTGCCTCCAAAGGTGGGTTTTCCAAGGTTAAAACTGAGAGAAGCCAGCAGAGCAGCATAAGAAATCTGTGCCAGATTTAAGTCTCTGGCTGTTTTGGGTCTCAAAAGATGCCATTTCAGGCTGTTCATACGGCACTACTTTTACACACACATTCCAAAAATGCATTGGAAAGATGGTGCATTTTTTTTTTCTATGGATTACACAAAAATCCTTACATGAATACAATGAGTTATAAAGAAAGAAGGCATCGCGTGGAAGAAACAAAAAAATAAGTTTGTGCAGTTTATTAATTTACATCACATGAACTGCAGCCATTTTCAATGCTGTGAAGCAAATTTTTAATAATTTGATTTCAGGCCTCAGGGTCACCCTGCTTTTATGAAGCATACTTTAACATAAGGAGTTGCCATGTGCAATTTGAGAGGTGGTTTTCTTTCCTCGTTAGGCATATAACACATTAGGCATATGCTTATACATAGCCTGGAGACTAACCTGCAGACCAGGAAAGTTACTACATACATTTAGAGAGTACTTGATCAAAAAAAGTCAAGTCAGGCTTCATCTGCCTTCTCCATTTATGTCCCTTCCTTCAGAAAACAAATTAATAACAGAGCCCAAGGGAGAAACCAAAACAAATCAAGTTACTCAGAGACTTTAAGGCCAAACAGAATCCACATTGCTGTGGGATGGAGCCATCTTCCACAGATAAATCCTTCCAATCACAGACTGGCTTGAGTTGGAAGAGACCTTTAAAGGTCATCTAGTCCAAACCCAAGGAGGTTCTTGCCAGTTTTTAACTGCTCATGAGTTTAGGAGAAGGAACTTTTAGTGCAATCAAGGAGCTATCACGACAGACCTTTTATTACAGGTTGCAGATTTGACGGTCAAGTACAATCATTTGCAGCAAAGCAAGGACACTGAGCCAGTTCCAACCACCACACTGAGACCATTCTCACTTATCACTCAACTTCTCCTGCATCCTTGTACAGCCAGAAATGAAAAGGTTTATTTGAATGCATCAGCTATAATAGAATTTAAGTATCTAAATGGCTTTTTGAAAGTACTGTCAATAGTCAGTCCCTCCTAGGTGTGCAAACAACTTCTCTGTCTCCAATCAGCGACACACAGTTGAGGCTGCCAGGAGTTGAGGTCACCATTGGCATTTTTAATGCCAAGATTCAACAGTCCATAGCAGTACCGTTTAAAATTTGGCCCTCCCTCCTGCTTGTGCTTCTCTAAGAGCCAAAATAGACACCTCTTATACGCTGCAGGTCTTCCAAGTTGGAGCAGGAACACAGCAGTAGCTTCCCTCTGTCCTCAAGCAAATATATTACTCAGGTATGAGCCAACTCCTCATGGCTCAGCCAGTTGATGAGCACAGCCAGCAGGAGCAGTGGAAATACGGCACGCAAGGACTTCTTACCCAGGTGGTTGCTTCTCCCTTTCACCTTCTTTCCCGTGTATTATTTACCTTCTCAGAACAGATGCTCCTTAGGGCTAGGGATTGGCTTCTCAGCTGTTTGCACAGCCTGCAGGGCAGCAGAGCTCGGAGCCCAGCTCCTGCTTCAGGGCAGTGTGACAACACATGCCAAGGGAGGTTCTCCCTAGTGGGAAGGTACTGAGTCACAGGACAAGTATTCAGTGCCCTCACCCTGTTTGATTCAACCCCAGACACTGCTCAAACCTTCCCACCTTTGTATTCAGCCATGGAAACTGGGGTGTGGTGGGAGCCTTCACCAGTGAGCTCAGACCAATAAATGCTGTAGAAGTGGACAGGACCCCAGGCCTCTCAGCTGTGTCAGGCTACTTACCTGCTTCTTGGACTCAGATCTACAACTGAGTAAAATAAGGAGGACAGAGACAGAAATATAGATTTTTTTCATGGCTCTAAACTCTCATTAAATGTCATCCATGGCCAACACAGCGGTCATTATGGCTGAGAGTGAATGTCAGGCACCTTGCTCCCACCCCTGTTTGGTGCCTGTGGAAGTTAGTGTACCTTTACTCCACCAGCTCGAGAGGTCTTTTAGACTTTGGGAGAAAATCACTCTTGCTAACAAAGGTACAAAGATCACAGAATCACAGAATCTTCTAGGTTGGAAGGGACCTCAAAGATCATCTTGTCCAACCGTCAACCTCACTGACAAAAACAGACACCCACACAACAAACAAGAAGCATCACCATCACTAAACCATACCTCCCAGCACTACATCAACCTGTCTTTTGAACACCTCCAGGGATGGTGCCTCAACCACCTCCCTGGGCAGCCCATTCCAATGCTTAATAACCCTTTCAGTGAAAAAATTTTTCCTAATATCCAGCCTGAACCTCCCCTGGCGTAACTTGAGGCCATTTCCTCTTGTCCTGTCGCCTGTGACTTGAGAGAAGAGACCACCCCCCCCCTCTCTACACCCTCCTTTCAGGATGTCCTCAATTTCTCCGGTACTTCCTTCACAAATGACCCACCTGGCTGATAGGGCTTGTATGGTAAGAAGCGACAAAAGCTCACAGCAGCTGAGTTAGAAACTACTTCTTTTGCCTTCTCTTCTCACCTTGATAACACTTTGTTAGCTTGGCTTGCTCTCTTCAAGAGAAGCATTTGGCCTCTCAGTCCCATTTTTTGAGGAACTAAGAGCAACGTAAACATTAGAGCTATTCCCAGGCACTCCACGGCCACAACTAAAGCAGCAGATTTCCCCCATCAGAAAGACAATTGGTTTTAAGTCTTGGCAGGGGAAGAGGCTTTCACGAAGTCTGCGTTCAACACCACATCACAGACTTGGCATAAAAAACAGCTGCTGAGGTTGCAACGGGGAATTTTTACAATGCTACTTGAATTCTCAAGCTCAGGCCTTGGGAGTAACATCAAACTGCTTGTACCATGTGGGCCTGTTGGACTGCCAGGTGTCAGATTTAGGTTGTGCTTTACCTTAAAGGGAACTGTGGAGAAATGAGGCTACAGCCATGGTTTTCCACCGGTGCATACGCCTCCCAGCACACCACAACGGGATCAGAAGCCAAGAGTTGATTCTACACCAGCTCCCCAGTCAACAGAAAGCCCAAGGAAGTTGTCATTACCTTATTTTCTTCTTGGTGACCAAAGAACTAGTAGGCATCCAGATTAAGACTCAGATTGCAGGCTCAGTTGCCAAGTTTGCAATGAGGAGAAAAGGCAATCACAGCTTTACATACGATCTAAGCACATATTTCTGGAGTCCCTCAGTGGTCTGTTGAAATGCCAGTTAGCCTACGTTGCACTTTTCAGCATCAAACAGCCCAGAGATATAATAAAACTGGTGCCTGTATCTTCTATAGGAACATTAAACTCAAGAAAATGATAGTACATAGTTAAAAGGAATTAATTTTAAAATACTTTTATAAAACAATCAAGTTCCCCTATTACTAAATGTGATTTTCCTCTATGCCTAGACGAAATATTTTTGATGGCAAGATGACCAATTTTTCATCCCACTAAGGCATCAAGTACACACAGAATTGCACTGATGGAGCACACAAAGCAAGTGTCTGGCACTCTGCAGGCAAACAGAAAATCTCCACACGTATTAATGGGGTTGTCTCTCCCCACCTCCGAAACATCTGATAGTGGGCTAAATCACATATAAGGCAGGAAATCTGCTCTGATATTATCAGTCCCTGTCAACCTTCCTATCAGTAAATCTGGAATGGTTTATCTTAAGCTTTGTAGGTTACTATAATAGCTCATTGCATGTTGGGGCGACGTGATAATGACTTCTGTTTCATTTTTTGAAACAACAGTATTTACATCCCTATCTCTCAAGCTGTTCAGCTACACCTCCTCAGTGTCTCGTAATTCCTTCCCCTGGACCCCCCTTATTCAGGGTCCAAATTACAAACCACCACCACAGGATTTGCAAGTTGGGACAATTAACACCTTCATAATTTCTTTTAATGCCTTATTCCACAATTGACAGCTTAAATGGAGCTTTTAGGGCAGGACAGTCTGTGTGGTGCCAGCACATTCTGGGCCTTCTTGTTTTAAAGGTGATTTAAACATTTCTGAGTTTATGTTTGGCTCAAAGAGACAGATTCATTAACATCTCACACCCCCTATTCTGAATGTATGAAAAAAGCATCCCATAAAATAAAGGCTTTTTAAAACCTTATACCACCACCTTATCTACAAATTCAAGTCCAAAACCTCCCTCCTGCAAATGAAATATCAAATGAGTGGAGAAGGTGGAAAGAGAGAGAGGCTTTTGAGGAATTCATCCTCACTTCCATTTGCTGCAAGCGTAACAACAAACCCTAAACCAACAAAAAGATAACAAAGGATTTAGGTTCGGCATCACCTACCAAACACAGACAAGAAAATTTTCATATCATCACTCGTGCAAGAAGAGGAGGAAAAGAACATTGCACCAGGCATTCTAAGTGTCAGACTTGCTGATTATTTTTTTTTTTTTCCTTCTTTGAGAGTGGGGAACAACCATAAAAGGTTTACAAGGCAAAAGGAGTAACTGTTTAAACATTCCCCTTTGCATGAGCATGCCTCTTTAGCCCACACATATTTAGATAAGATGTAGGAAAAAAAGTCTGTTCTGGCATTTGTTAGAGAACTACACCCCAAACATTTATAATGGGCAGCCCTGAGTCAGGAATA